CTAGTTGTTGAAAATTTTATTCGATTTCATGTGGATTTTAAGCCAGTGCCAGTACTGAGGTCGATTCCCAGGGGAGGAGGATAGTGATGGTGTCTGGACCTCCTAGGGGCACTTCATCAAAGTGGCCACGTACTGTCCTGTTTGTGACTTTTGGAGGTGGGTAAGCTGAGTTTTCTATGTGGGGCTGCCTGGTTGGCTTAATTAATGCACTTATTTAAATTCTATACTCATAAATTAAATAACTAGGACCTCCTGAAAATTAAATACTTAAGGTCATCAAAAGATTTAACCAAAAGAGTGAAAAAGAACCTATCATCTGAGCGAAAAAAAAAAAATGGTAATAACATATCTGACAAGAGTCTAATCTCTAAAATAGATAGGAAATGTTAACAACTCAACAACAAAAACATAAACAATCCAATCAAAAAATGGGCAAAGGATATTATTAACAGATACTTCACCAAAGAAGACATTCAAGTAGCTAATAAACATGTGAAGAGATGCTCGTGCTCATTAACCATTAGAGAGATGCAAATCAAAACAACAATAAGATGCCATTTCATTCCTGCAAAAATGGCACTAATCACAAAAACAGAAACAACAGATAGGTGGAGCTAAGATGGCAACCTAGTTAGACACTCCACTCCATCCCTCTACAACAAAGATTTGAAAAACCAAGTGAAATACATATGGATGATAATCCTGGAGCTCTAAGCATCAAATGAAAGAATAAAGAATTAGATTTAACACCAATTGAAAGAAGATACTGAACAAAAGCAGTGAATGAGGAGAGACATGGAGTGGAGGTGTTCTGCACAATGTGGCTATTTTGAGATTTTAAATGCAGCATTCCAAGTGAGTAGAGGAAGGCAATTTCATGGAATCCCCAAAAAGTCAGAGACAGTGTAGATAAATCTGGAGTGAAGCAAGGTGAGCAGAAGATGAGCTAGATTTAAAGAAGCAGAATTCAGGAAAGAGAGTGAGAACTCCAGAGACTTAGACAACCACAGAACAGGGAAAGGACCCAGTAAATAGTGATAGAATTCAGCAGCACTGGTGCCTGGTCATTTGGGTTAGGGACTCACATGGAGAGGAAGCCCTGTGGGGTGGCAGCTGGAGATGCTGAACTACAAGCAGCTCGCCCTTGCATTGAGTCAATATAGGAACCAGATAACCAGCAGCATTCACCCTGGAGTGCACTGATACCCATGCTGGTGACCTGTGACCAGAGGAGTGTGCGCTCTCTCCTGCTCCACATACCCTCCCAGTGACCAGAAGTGTTGTCCCCCAGTCCTATGCCCTAGTGGCCAGTGATGCACTCATGGTGCCCCTCCCCCACCCAGGGCTCCGCCCAGCTGACCTCTCCCTGACAGCCCCTTCACCACTCTGCTTACTTAGTGTTGTGTAGTATGTACCCATGAATTTTGTACCATTCACCTGCCATTTCTATGGTTGAAGGTATGCACTCATGCCCTTTGTCACATCACTTTTCTTAAATTTTCTTTTTCTCTTTCTCATTTTCTTTTCCTTCTTTTTTTGTCTCATCCAGCAGGACACAGAAACCACTAGCCAGACAGATCTGCCACACCTGCTGCCCCACCCCCTGGGTGAGTGCCATCACCCACTCCTGTACCACTGAATTGATGACAGATGGTAGCCAACACTTGCTCAGCCCACCCTCAGCTGCTCTACACAACCAGTGAACAAAGACCCCAAATCACATTCCCATCTGCTACCCCACCCACCCACAGGTGGTGAGCACTCAAGTCCTGCCATCCCAGTCACCAGCACATCCCACCCTGTGCACCTGTACATATCAAAACAAAATAAAACAAAAAATTGGGGTGAAACAAACAAACATACAATCAACAAATAAATATAATAACACCACAATGTCTCAGAGACAACAGACAACTTCAAATAACACAGAGACTCAAGTAAGTGACCAAAATATAGGGTCAGAAAACCTTCCTGAGTAAGAAATAGTAATGGTAATTCTTGATAGGAAATTCAAAAGAATTATATTTAGGACCATTCAACAGATTAAAAAAGAGAAAAACACAAACAAAACTAAAGAAATCATAGACAAAATCAAAGAAAACAAAGTCAAAACTCTAAAAAAATTCAGGAGAACAATACAAAAACAAATTGACAAAATAAATAGACAATTAGAAACCATAAGAAAAACAGCAAATAGAAATCCATAAGATTAACACTAAAATTTCAGAAATAGATAACACATTGGAAGGACAAAGTAGTAAAACTGAATCAATGGAAGACAGAATCAGCAAAATAGAAGACAAATCCCTTAATACCAATCTATTAGAGAAACTAGCAGAAAAATGAATGAAGAAAAATAAAGAAAACTTAAGAATTATGTAGGACATTATCAAGTAAATCCACCCACCTATGGACAGCTGATCTTAAACAAAGGAATAACTTACATGTGATTAGAATTCCAGAGAAGGAAAAAACAAAAAAATAGCACAGAGAAAATTGTCCAAGACTTGTTAAAAGGAAACTTTCTTAGTATCATGAAAGACAAGAGTATATCTATTCAAGATGTTCAAAGAACCGCAAATTTGACAGACCTCAAAAGAAAATCACCAAGACATATCATAATCCAACTTTCCAAAACCAAAGACAAAGAATCCTGAAAGTAATTAACATGGGAAAAACAAAATGTTACTTAAACCAGGGAACCAGTAAGACTAAACTTAGATTTCTTGGTAAAAGTCATGTAAGCAAGAAGGTAATGGGATGGCATACATAAAATCCTGGAAAAAAAATTATATATACAGCAAAACTGTCCCTCAAATATAATGGTGAAATTAAAACATTTCCAGATTAATAGAAGTTAAGAAAATTTGTGAAAAAGCAGACCAATTTTACAAGAAATGCTAACAGGAGATCTTTGGACAGAGAATCAGCAGTGTCAGACAAGAATCTGAGATTAAAATATATGACAATATCACCCAGAAAGCAAGCCAGAAAAAGAATTTCAAAAATAAAATAAACCAACATGCCTGAAAATAAGGAAAAGAGATGTCAATCTATAAATGATGACAACTACAAAGTAAAAAGAGGGAATTGATGGTATAGTTACAGAACTTCCAATTGGGGAGGAAGTCAAGACATTATCAAGATAAAACAGACTATTTTAAACTCAGGAAGAAAAAAGTAAATTACAGAGCAACCACAAAGAAAATTAATACACCATCTTACTAAAACAAAAAAAAAAGGAAGAAGAAAATCATAAAGAAGAAAACTCAGTAAAGAGAAAATCAACAGCAACAAAGAAAATGAAAAGAAAATTTTTAAACAAAGTAAACTCAGCACAGAAAAAAACATATACAGAACAAGAAATCAGCAGCATTACAAAAAAAAAAATGACAACAGTAAATTCATACTTACCAATTATTAACACTGAATGTAAATGCATCAAATGTACCAGTCAAGAGACAGAGAGTGGCAGAATGGATGAGAAAACATGACTGTCAATATGCTGCCTACAAGGGCATTTTGTGCCTTACACACAAAGATAAAATTAAGACAAAAATCAAAGGATGTGAAAAAATATATCATGCAAACAGCAACCAAACAAGAGCAGGAGTGGCAACAGTAATTTCTGATAAAGTAGACTTTTAGCTTATCCCTATTTACAGATGATATTATCCTATACATAGAAAATCCCAGAGCCTTCATAAGAAAGCTACTGGAACTAACAGAAGGATTGAGCAAAGTGGCCTGGTACAAGATCAACATAAAACGTCAGATTCTTCTACACTAGCAAAAAGAACTCTGAAAAAGAAATCAGGAAAACAATATCATTTACAGTACCTACAAAAAGCTGAAATACCTAGGAATGAACCTAACCAGAGGTACAAAAGACTTATCAAAGAAAACTACAAAACATTACTGCAAGAAAACAAGAGACCTACATAAATGCTCATGGATAGGGAGATTTAACATTGTGAATATGTCAATACTACCAAAATGATCTACAGATATAATGCAATCCTGATCCAGATTCCATCAACATTCTTTAAAGAGACATAAAAATCACCAACTTAATATGGAAAGGAAAGAGACCTCAGATAAGCAAAGCACTGCTAAAGAGGAGGAACAAATTAGAAGGCCTCACACTTTCCAATTTCAAAACCTACTATACAGACACAGTAGTCAAAACAGCCTGGTATTGGTAGGATGACAGATACATAGACCAATGGAACAGAATTGAGAACCCAGAAGTAAATCCATACACTTATGGACAGCTGATCTTACACAAAGGACCAAAATCCATTAAACGGGGAAGAGATAGTCTCTTTAACAAATGGTGCTGGCAAAACTGGATATCCAAATGCAGAAAAATGAACAGGATTCACACTTCACACCATATACAAAACCTTACTCAAGATGGACCAAACACTCTACAGTCTCTCCTTCCTTATGCTCTTTTCAGAAAAGGAACTGCTACCAGTCAGTTTTATCATCTGTTGAATTATGGGGTCAGGCTAGACTTGGTCAGATTTATGACTCTTATTTATATCTTGGTGCGTTTTTAAGTCACTGATTCACCTCCCTCCTGGCTTGTTTTCAGTTCATCAGCTTTTCAATACTCATTCTGGAAAGAGGAAGCCTTTGACATCTTAGAGGATTTCAGGGGAAGGACCAGGGAGAAGGCTTATCTGGGGGGTAGAGAGAGGAGTGATAATCTTCCAGTGCTCCTAAAAATCACCCTGTTTAGAAGCAAGTAATCTGCTTCATTTCATAAGTGATATCTACTCTCAGAGTGGATTTTGTGAGGCAGTTTTGAGATTTGTAGCCCTCTGAGGATGAGGAGGGGTGTCCTAGACCCTTTCTTTGAAAAAAAGAGTCCTATGATCTGGATTGATGAGGTTCTTTTGGAAATCTTCCTTCTCAAAGTTAACGTTGTGCTTTTCTGATCCCAACATGGACTCCTTCCCTTTTATTAGCCCCAGCAACAAGCAGCTCATTACTTTTCAGGGGCCAAGGTCTCCTCCAAGAACTCCTCGATCTTATTGACGTCTGTCTTCACATCACCGTTGAAAGTTAGGAAAGGGGGATGGGTCCCAGGAGCTAAGTTGTGCAGGTCAGCTGGCTTCCTGTAAAGAGAGCAAGAATTTGAGTACTATTGAAAAACTAGAGAATCATCACAGGTGACCCTCCAAATTAGTGTCAAGTTTTGATTACCCAGGGGAGAGGTTGAGCTTTGCCTTCAAACATTCTTTCACCAAGTAGTTTAAGAAAAATACACTATACAGATTTGCAATCTTTAAAAATTAATAAATTAAGTTACACTTTCATCCCAAAAGATTATCACAAGGGGTGGATATGTAATATTATCTTGTTGTTGTTGTTGTTGTTATGTGCCGTCAAGTCGGACCCGACTTATAGTGACCCCTCCTTGGGTTGCCGAGGCAGTATCACTATGGACGTAGATTGCCCAACCTTCCTTCCTAGAAGTGGCTGGTGGGTTTGAACCGCCAGCCTTCTGGTTAGCAGTCAAGTGCCTTAGCCACTATGCTACCAGAGCTCCCTCAATACTATAATTGCAATTATACAGTTACAATAAGATACTATATTATTATATATAATAATAGTATAATAGTTATACAACAATAATTATTTTTGTATTTATATAATTATAAATATATATATAATTGTAATTATACAATTAAATATAAGAGGGTAGGGATAATTTCTCAAATGCAAAGAAGTTGAGAGCTTGGGCTATTTGGCCATGTTAGAATACCTCTATTCTGTGTAACTTAAATTCTAATATCTAATAACAAATATCTAACATTAGCCAGTCTATTCTCAGACTCAACAGTACATTTTTCTATCTATAGTAGCCTCTGACACTGCCTTTAGGTATTTGAAAATAAGCAAATTATTAGGTTTAAATCCAAATTATTAAATGGAAATGATGTTTTCAAAAGTGTTTTCACTGTTAAGTTTCTAACATGGGCATGCTACAAGTCCTTGTGAAAACTTGTGGATTTATGTCCAACAGACCCATGTTTAGCACACACCTGAGGGGCTATGGTCTTTTTTGTCACCAAGGATTCTACATCAAGAATCTACTGTTACTGGGTAAGAAGCTATCTGAGGGAACACCTGGCAACTCAAGATCAGTAAGGACAGGGACCTAGTACTATGCCTGGCATATAGAAGGCCCTCAATAGATACATATCTTTAGTGAATACTTAAATGAAGTATCCATTTTTAATTTTTTCAAAATAATGCTTTCTTTTAATTCAAAATTTTGTATAAAATTTAATGTTCCAAGGGAATTCAATTAATTTATGGAACTTAGTTTACAATCAAGTTCTACCTAAGAGAATGTTGACTTATAAACTAAACAATCAGATAAATAGTTTACCAAAAGAAAGCACAGATAACACAATAAAAATTGTCATCCCAGGAAACGATGACCCTCTAAATTTTTATTAATATTAGTTCTGGTTCTTTATATTATACTAATTTGTACCAGAGTTTAATGATAGAAAAGGCAACAATTTCTAAATTGGTGGTTTAGATTTTGGGTTTTTTAAAGATTTCAAAATATAATTTCAGTTTTTAAAACATAGATAAACCATTAGATAAAAATGAAGGCAACAGAAAAATTCAACTTTTCATAACCAAAAAATTAGCATAACCTTAAAGATAACTTAGAAAAGGGTGTAAGAATATATTGTATATATGCATTCCCCATTATTAAAAAAAAGAATGATTTTATTTTTTATTTTTTTATTAGGATTTGGGTGAAGATTTACAGAGTAAATTCACCTTTCATACAGCAGTTCACATATACTTTGTCTCATGTCATTGACCAAAATTTACAATGCTGCAGCTCCCCTCCCACTTCCTCCCCATAGTT